GAGAGAGAGAGAGAGAGAGAGAGAGAGAGAGAGAGAGAGAGAGAGAGAGAGAGAGAGAGAGAGAGAGAGAAGGAGAAGAAGAGAAGAGAATGGAAGAGCACAAGTAGCTAACCAGCAACCACTTCTGTAACCACATAACCAACTCGCTACTGGTCACAGCTTTTTCCTTTCACGAGTGTTTCAAAAATATCACCTGGGCTCCTGGTGTTCAACCACATCAACAAGGCTGGCCTTGCACGCGCCATCTTGTTATCGTTTATGGCTTTCGGGGGATCTGGTCAACCACTCTAAAGTGGCCAGCCTTGCACTCCATCTGTCTTATTACTCATAGTTCCAGTGCGTGTGTTTGTGTCCTGAAGTGCTTGATACCAATCCTCAGTGGTCAAGCTTCACATGCAGGCATTGTTTTCCTCGAGGTAGAGACTCAAGACAAACTTCCAAAGATGCATTCAAAGCTTTCCGTCCCAGTGCACTCTTAAGCATAAGACTTTGGTGTGCACTCTTGAGCATAAGACCTTGGTGTGCCCCAGCATATATGCTAACTAAACATCATAGAGATGAGGGTAGTCTGCCGGACCGTGGGCGGCCCACGGTCCGGCAGACTACCCTCATCTCTATGATGTTTAGTTAGCATATATGCTGGGGCACACCAATGTCTTATGCTCAAGAGTGCACACCAAAGTCTTATGCTTAAGAGTGCACTGGGCCGGGAAGCTTTGAATGCATCTTTGGAAGTTTGTCTTGAGTCTCTACCTCGAGGAAAACAATGCCTGCATGTGAGGCTTGATCACTGAGGATTGGTATCGAGCACACCCGGACACAAACAGACTGTTTAGTCGACTCTCACCAACTCATCATGGGCCTGAACCCTCGACAGTCTGCAGTAATCTCCTCTGACCATAGTTGTAAGTGGACAACCAAATAGGTGACAATACAAGTGCCGAGGAAAAGGGTGCAGAGGCACAGCAGAGGGCAGATGGGCCGTCTCGGAGCAAAAAGGAACAAAGCAGCCCAGGCATATGATCCAGCAGACAGGCAGACGAGCACCCAGCGGGACCGCAAGGCAAGTATGCAGAGGTAAGCAGCACAGCAACACAAGGCAAGCAAATGGGCAGGGCAAAACAGGGAGCACCACAGCAGAGGGCAGTGGGGTCCACATACACAGCATGGACCAAAGCAGACCATCACCTACTCACACCACAAGTCTACAGACTATAGGCTCACACCACCAGTGGAGTCAGGAAGCCACTGTCGTGTATGACTGTCATCACCAATTGAGCACCAGTACAGAGGCACCCCCAACACAGCAGCACCCGTAGTATCGTAGAAGGCACTCCTAACAAACAGGCACTGACTATTTGGCACACCTTGAAGGTGCTGCACTTAGACTCTGAGAACACGGGAAGCGGTCAAAGCATGCGCAAAGTATGCAACAATACTCAGGTAGAAAGGCACTTCAAAGTGCAGGGGATGGGAAGGTGAAGGACAAGGAAGAGTCCTTGATCTGGAAAGCTGTGCAAAATTATTCTGGAGCCAGAATCTCAATTGCGATCGTGGAGTCAAACGTGATGAATCCTATAAATCCCATCATGGGATATACCTAGCCTAATTTATGTCATTCGTTTTTCCCAATGCTATTTGAATTTGGCTTGTCCCATGCACAGTATTGGCAGGTGCATACAAGTGGAGACGGCAGAAGAGGAGAAGAGCATATAAGAGAGGAGAGAGAGGAGGGGAGAAGAGAGGAGATATGAGAAGGGAGGAGGAAATAACAGGAGAAGAGAAACAAGAAGAGGGGAGGGTAGAAGAGGAGGAGAAGAAGAGAGGCAAGAATAGAAAGGAGACAAACACAGGACAGAGGAGAGCAAAAGAGGACACACAAGGAAAAGAAAGAATGACATCCGAGGGGAGAGGAGCAGGGAGTGTGGGAGAGTGGAGGGGAACAGAGAAAAGGAGGGAAGGGAGCAAAAGAGGAAAAGGGAGTGGAGGAAAGAGGGAGGAGGAGGATAAAAGTGAAGAAGAGCAAATAAGAAGAGTGAAGAAAAACAGTGTCACTGTTCCGTCAGCAGACCTTTATGCTTTGAGCTGATGTGGAGGAAGAACCGAAGGCCCCAAGCCGACTGCCTCAGCTTCGCCCTCTGCAATAACCAACAAACAGAAACCATTACAGGCCGAGCGCATGTCCATCCAAAAACATCCTCCCCCATAGATGCTAGACGCTTGGACTAGCAAATCCCAATCTGGTTGAAACAGAGTGTTTAAGCTGGTGTGCAGGCATTGCCACATTTCGCTATCACATTTCTTTACATTTCTCACATTTGCACACATTTGCAGCTTTGGGACACGATTTCTTATCTGGATGATGGTGGGAATATCACATCCCTCGAGCCATTCTCTTCCCTTCCTGGCGAGTTTTGAGGTCGTGCAATCACAGCACATGGACCATGTTCGACACTGCTATTCGTGAATCACACAATCAGGTGCCAGTCAAAAAGTTGGAGACGTAAACCTGGGCTGTAAGGAATGCCTCCCTCCACTGTAACCTATCCATGCTTGCTGGGAGAGAGGTAGTTGCAGATGTGCTCTGGCGTGCTGAGAGGCAGCGAAAGACCTTGAGGAAACCATTATACACCATCATTGCCCATGATGGCCGCCCCAAAGTTCCCAGCCAAATGCAAGGAGGCCACTTAGACCTTTTGGAAACGGCTGGCTCTCAGGCTATAGAGCGGTTTTGCAGCCACCCATTCAGCAACATAGAATTAGGCACTGGTGGTTGACACGACACTTCTATTGCACGGTATGGCAAAACAAAAAGAGGTTGGGACCTGCTCAGAAACTTTGCATCCTTTTCCCCAATTGAACAGAAGATAGCCACCATATTGGGACACCGCACAGTATCCGGGCAAACACACTTCTCCCTCTCTCATTAATCACATTGCACCCGGAGCTGAAAGGTGTGGGTTGTCCAAGCTCAATTTTCCTTAAGGAATTGCAGATCATGGCTGAGAAGGTGGGTGGGGTAATTTGGCCTGAGATGACTGCAAAACTGACCAGGTGCTACGAAGGGTGGGAGTAAGTTAGACGGGTGGCTTCCGGTACCTGGCACATCGGGCCAAGAACCGCAAGGAAGGGGCATATCGGCAGTTCTTTCAAGAGCCAAAGTAAAATGGTCCGGAAGAAAAACAACACGGGACAGAACTGGGCAGTATTAGCGCCCTGCCAGGAGGATCGTAACAAAAGACAGCAGGACATCGGCGACATCTGGGCGGCATAAGCTGTCATGAATCGAAAATGTGCCTCATGAAGGTACAGCCGAAGCCACGCTACACACTTGGGAAGAAAGATGAGCACAAGTGGACGTGAGAGAGAGAAATGTGGCTCCTTTTTGAATCCTCGTTCCTTCGTTTTTTCGTAACATGGTTTTCAGGAGTAGCAGGTCAGGCGGGAAACCGCCTACACACAACTCAGGATTTTTGCAAGCACTAGATAAGCGTGCACTGGTGTATTTAAGACTGGAGGACGTATGTCCGTCCTCTGACTGAGCAGTTGGAGGTAGAAGGTCTGTAGCTAGGGGAAACTCTGGATCTATGATGTACTTACACTGTGAGATGTAACACCTCTGAGTAGATTATTTTCGAGTTTTACCTCTCTAGCCGCTCTACTATGGTGTGACTGCCCGCACTACTTTCCTACTCTCTCTGTATGTACAACCTACTCTTTCTTATCTCTCTCATCTCTGTATCCACTCTCCTCTCGCTGAACAATGCTGCAGAGTCTGAACACCCGAGTGTGCTCTTCGGTCATTGCCAGGTATAACCGCTTGTTCCCACTGCTGTGCTCAGCCCTTATCACCCCAGCCCAAGCGCCCTTTCTTCCTCCTGGGCGCAACTGTGCATGCTGCCAGGCGGAGAAGCTATTCGTGGCTTCTCGTACCCTTCTCCTTCTTGAGTGCCCCAAGGCCTAGCCGTGTGCATTTAGAACCAAGCTAGTGCTGGCAGCCAGTGCCTATGCACGTCTGGCATGTCCATGCCTCTCCGTTTGTTTCTTTCTGAAGGCCGCGGTGGTGGCTGGTACTGGGCTCATCCCGGTCTGGCAACCTTGAAAGAACCTTCCTAACTTGGTGCCTGGACCTCAGCCTCTGCAACTAACTGGGAGGCTGAGCCTACCGGTTAGTTGGAGAGGCTGCACCCACTCTTCCTTCCAACTCAATGATGCCAGCCTCTCAAGAGGCCTATGTCATATTTTCTCAGGTGCCCCCTTCAAAGCTGCAGAGGCCTGAAGCCTCACATTCCTAACCCCTCAGGTTCACAGCCTCTGCAGTACCCTAGGTTGTTTTCCCAGCCGCCCAGGCAGATACTTCCTGCTCAGAAATCTGCTTGGTTGCCCCGGGTGCCAAGAGCGCAAAAAAAACACCACCAAATTTGACTGGTTTGGGGTCCTAGATGCCTTTTGGCACAATTCCTTTTTCCAACCCTAAATCGGCCCAGGCGGTGTTGAAAGTGTGCCGAATCTGGGCCCTTCGATCTTCGCGATCGATGACCCAGAATCGGGCACTTTTTGAAAGAAGCGCCCGCACGATTTTGTGTGGGCCTTGGATTTCGATTGCCCACATGAAACCGCGGGGCCACTTCTCCATTCAAAGATCGCCCCCTCCCCTTCGTCGACATGCCTCACTGCAGTCCTGTCACCCGTTGTCCGCCACTCGCTGCCGCGAATGCAGCCATCTCCAAGGTAAGTCTTCTTCTTCTCCTCCACCTTCGTGTGTGTGTGTTGTCAAGAAACCCCAAACTCTCTCTCTCATTCCATTAGGTCTTGATTTTTTTGCTATGATTTTTTTAGTTGTTTATGTAGGAGCTATTGCTGTTCTATTTTTATTTGTGGTTATGATGCTAAATATAACGATAGCAGAAATTCACGAAAATGCATTACATTATTTGCCTGTAGGTGGTATTATTGAACTTATCTTTTTGCTGGAAATTTTCTTAGTTGTAGATAATGATTACATTCCAGTATTACCAACAGAATTGAGTACAACTGTATTTCAATATACTGTTTATGCTTCCAAAATACGACGTTGGATGAATCTGGAAACTTTAGGAAATCTACTTTATACCACTTATTTCTATTTGTTTCTCCTTTCAAGTCTTATTTTATTAGTGGCCATGATTGGAGCTATAGTACTTACCATGCATAAGACTACTCAAGTAAAAAGACAAGATGACGAAACTTCGTAGTAATAAAATAAATACGCGCAGCTTATTAAATGCCATAAAGGCTGCGCGTACTCGGGCCTGGTTGGTGGTGATTCCTATATGTACATTCTTACCACCAACGATAACGAGAAAAGCTACAATCTGATTCAGCTAATCCATGAAGATCATCTCTTTTTTTTCTAGCAAACCCTTGTTTTTTCAAAGCATCCTGTATTTCAGCAGATAAAGATTGATCTGAAGTTCTAAACTTATGTTTTTTTTTTGTCAAATGTCATCTCCACAGGGCGCCTTCAAGAATCCACCGAAGAACAAAGGTTTATTGACAACTCTTTGGTATAATGGATGGGACTAATTGGGTGGTTCTGGAGATTCTGACTTTTCTTACTTCTAAAATAGGTTTTGCTGCGCCATCTTGAGGAAATAAGATTGCCCAAGAATACAGTGCGAGCCCGCTAATGTTTATAGAGTTGAGCCTGTTCTGGGGAATTGGAGTCACTTTCGGCTCAAAGCATCCTACAGTTAACCCGTATTTTATATTTTACTATACGTGGGGAAGCGCGCGAACGTACGCTGTTTGTTATATTTCCTGCCTGCCATTGAAACCAAGTGGTAAGGTCCAAATCGGCGGATACTGACCATATGGGAGTTGATTACCCATCTATTGATATCGATTGGGGGACAGGTGACTAAACAACAACTTACAACGTTAAAGCCTATAGGTGATACCGGCGAGATCCAACTGGTTTGTTTGATGTACCTATTGGAAGTCAGAGGACCCATAGTACCTGCCTAACCCGAAAGGGACCTAGTAATAGGAAAGCATTGACAATCTCATCAGTAATCAGGAAGGGGTCTATGCATCTGCACAACGCAGATTTCATTCTACGACATAGAGACAACTCCCGCCTAGAGGGAACCATTGCAAGGAATATGAGCGATGAGTAATAGACAAAAATCCGAATTGCAAAATCACGCTGTGGGCCAGATAATCGAGTACCAAGCAGAAGGCACAATGCACCGAGACACCAGCCAAATAAGAGCAATGCAATAAACTTAGATGCCGATGTCGACACTCGCTCGCCACATCAACACAGTATCCAATGTCGCTCTTCCTAATTGGCACTCAACGCCCAGCCTATACTACTCAACTCAACCTAGACTAGCCTCATCTACGTTCATGCAATAGGAATCACTTTCGAAGTTGGAGAACGATGTACGCGACGACGTTGCCACTCCAGACTGTCAGGGAACCATTGCAAGGAATATGAGCGAGAGTAATAGACAAAAATCCGAATTGCAAAATCACGCTGTGGGCCAGATAATCGAGAACAAAGCACAATGCACCGAGACACCAGCCGAATACGAGCAATGCAATAAACTCACATGCCGATGTCGACACTCGCTCGCCACATCAACACAGTATCCAATATCGCTCTTCCTAATTGGCACTCAACGCCCAGCCTATACTACTCAACTCAACCTAGACTAGCCTCCTCTATGTTCATGCAATAGGAATCACTTTCGAAGTTGGAGAACAATGTACGCGACGACATTGCCAATGCAGACTTTCTGTCCTCCCCTCATCACCCCTTGTCCTCCCACAATATATGCCTCCTACCCGAAGACCACCATTGCCATCACTTGACACCCCGACAGCCCGGCTATGGCCGCCATGCGCCCGCTGCCACCGCAGCGCCTGCTTGCGCCCGCGTGCACCTTCCTCTGGCCAGCGCCCAAGCAGCTCGCCAGCATGGCGGGACTGTGTTGCCAAGTCAAAATGTGCCTCTGCTGGGCGAGGCACTTTCCTTTATGGAAAGTGCTGCCCAGCCATTGCCTGCCTGGGCCTGGCTGCGTGTGCCCAATAGCTTTACGTTGGGCCAAAGTGTTTATGCCCAGGCCCGTTTAGACAGTACCCTGGGCCGCAA